TTCTTCTTCTTCTTCTTCTTCTTCTTCTTCTTCTTCTTCTTCTTCTTTTTGTTTGGTTTTCAAGACAGGGTTTCTCTGTAGCTTTGGTGCCTGTCCTGGAACTAGTTCTTGTAGACCAAGCTGGCCTCAAACTCACAGAGATCCGCCTGCCTCTGCCTCCCAAGTGATGGGATTAAAGCCGTGTGCCACCACAGCCCGACGCTGTTTTTTTTTTTTTCTTTTCCATTCTCTTATTTTTTTTGGTCATATTGTTTCTAATAAGATGAATTATGTTGGGGGAGGATTAAAAGGGGGAGGGGAGAGGCAGGGAGGGGAGCAGAGAAAAATGTAGAGCTCAATAAATATCAATAAAAAAGATGAATTACGCTATTACTGTAACAAGTTATATTTGTTTTGAGCAAAATTGAAACACAATTTCTGAGTTGAGAAATATTTTGAGTGGTATTTTTTTAGCTTATTATCACAGCAAATTATAACACTCAAAAACTTCCAGGAGTATTCTTTTGATAAGCAATGAGTTATCCTGTGTCTGTTGCAGACACTCTGGTGTTCTCCAGTCTTTGAGCATACTCACTACTATGAATGGGGTCCAGACAAAACTGGGTAAATGCCTGTGACTGAAGGTCACCAAGAAGCTCAGCTGGGTCTCAGCAGAAGCAATCACAGAAAACAGCTCACAACTTCAAGAGCTGGCATAGTATTTTCCGAGGAGCAAGGGGACAATTATCATTTTAGAAATCATCCAAATATCTTAGAAAATCAAGGCAGTTTTTGAAAATGACACCTAACTTAGAGCCAGGGATTAATTTGGGTCTTGGAAAAATTATAACTCCAGTGGTGACTTACAGTGTCTCAGTCCAGCATAAGGGAAAATCTGTGCTCACAGAGACATGCTAAGGAGAAAAGCAAGGTCTCTTTACGGCGGCTCGACATTGTGTTGTTTACTGTCCTCAAAGTCTGTCTTAGTCAGTGTGCTCTTGCTGTGAAGAGACTCCATGACCATGGCAACTTTTCTAAGGGAAAGCATTGACTGGGGTTTGCTCACAGTTTCAGAGGTTGAGCCGTTGTCATCGTGGTGGTAGCTTTCACTGTGGTGGGAACAGTAGCCGCACACAGCCACATACAGTGTTCGAGAAGTTCTACATCCAGATCCCGAGGCAACAGGAGAAGAGAGAGGAGCCATTGGGCTTGGCTGGGCTTCTGAAACCCCAAAGCCCACCTGCCAGTGACACACTTCCTCTCACAAGGTCACACACACTCCAGTAAGGCTGGACCTCCTAATCCCAGTCAAGTACTCACTCCTTGATGACGAAGCATTCAGATATATAAACCCATGGGAACCTTTCATATTCAACCCCCCACATAGTCGTTCTTTGTGGCCTCTGCCTAAGAATGCTGGAGTTGCTGCTGTCTGGAGACCATTCCTACTGAATCATTTGATCGTTCCTAGAGGAATTTCCCTTTGTCTGCAGAATCAGGGAATACTGAATGCAGCCCGTGACGCCTTCCTCAGCCAAGTGAATGAGCTCAAGGCAGAGCTAATGGAGGAGAGCGAGAAGGTCGTGAGCCTGAGGACACAGCTGGGAGATGTGTCTGTCCTGCAGACAACTCTGAAAGAGGTAAATAACAGCTCTTGTATAGAGTACTTGCCTAGCACAGATAAAGCCCCGGATTTGGTCCCCAGCATGGCATGAAAGCAGGTGTGGCGCCTTTAGTTCCAGCACTGCAGAGGCAGAGGCAGAGGCAGGGGGAATCTCTGAATTCATTCTGTCCCGCTGAGGCCCCCACTCAAACATGTGGTGCTGATGCACATCTGTAGTCTCAGCAATCTAAAAAAGGAAACGAGAAGATGAGATGTTCAAGGTCTTTTGTGAGCTTGAGACCAGCTTGGGCTACATCATAAACAAACAAACAAACAAACAAACAAACAAACAAACAAACGTTTGTCAGGGACCAAGCCTGAGAACACGAGGGGGGCATTTTTATTTTAATGAAAACTGCTGCATTCTAACTTCAAGATGGCAAAAAGTGAGCATTGGAGTCGGGCGGTGGTGGCACAAGCCTTTAATCCTAACACTCAGGAGGCAGAGGCAGGAGGATCGCTGTGAGTTCAAGGTCAGCCTGGTCTACAAGAGCTAGTTCCAGGACAGGCTCCAAAGCTACAGAGAAACCCTGTCTTGACAAACCAAACCAATCAAACAAACAAAAAACCAAAAGAGAGCATCGTAGCAACAATATGGTTATTCCATGAAAAACATTTCTTTTCCGTCTATTCTCGCTTTGCTTTCCTGGATATCTGTGCACTGCATGAGTGTCTGCTGTCTGCTGAAGTCAGAAGAAGGAATTAGATCTCCTAAAAATTGGAGTTACAGATGTTTGTGAGTCATCCTGTGGGTGCTGGGGATCAAACCTAGGTCCTCTAGGACAGCAGGAGTTCTTAGCTGCTAACCATCTCTCCAGCCTTGCTACTTAATTTTTTATATGAGAACAGTGAGCCTCAAAAGTGGTTAAAGCACATAGTTTAGATGATTACAACATTTGAGAATCTATACTTCTCTATTTTCTAGACTCATTTGTCTTTTCTCTTTCTTTTTCTTTTGTTTTTTTGAGACAGGGTCTCACTGTGTAGTGCTGGCTAGTGTGGAATACACTATGTAGGCCAACTGACCTCAAACTCACAGAGATCTTCCTGTGATCTTCCTCGGCCCCCTGAGTGCCAAGGTTAACTGTGTGTACCACCAGGATTGGCTGCTTCCTTTTTCATTATGTTTGTTTAGTGTGTGTCTGTATATGCAGGTACATAGATCACAACTCAAGGGTGGAGGTCAGAGGGCAACTTTGGAGTCAGTTTTCTCTTTCTGTCATGTGGGTTCTGAGGATCAGGCTTGGTGGCAATCACCTTTATGTCCTGAGCCGTCTTACTGACCACTTTCATCTTCCATGATGCTTTGCCATGATGGTAGGAACACAGATGTAAGGAAAACGTACATCAAAGAGTTCACTAACGCCAATAAAATTCTCAGCCTACCTTTTTTCCTTTCTTTTTTTTTTGTTTTTTTTTTGAGTCAGGATTTCTCTGTAGCCTTGGAGCCTGTCCTGAAACTGTCTCTGTAGACCAGGCTAGCCTCGAACTCACAGAGATCCTCCTGCCTCTGCCTCCTGAGTGCTGGGATTAAAGACATGCGTCACCACACCTGACACTCAGCCTTCTTTCAATTAGCTCCAATCTTTTGTTTGTTTGTTTGTTTTTGTTTTTTGAGAGAGGGCTTTACCATGTGGCCCTGGAGGTCCTGGCACTTGCTCACTCTGTAGGCTAGACTGGTAGCCTCTGCACTGGGTTTTAAGGTGTGTGCCACTGACAGGTAGTCTGTCAAATGACAACTTGTAGAGCCAGTGTAGAAAAGCCCATGCCATAACATGCAAGACGAGTATGCTCTCAAGGATTCTGTCATTCTTAGTTTCAGGTCAGAGTTGAAGATTTGGAAAATGAACGGAAATTGCTGAGTGATAGTTATGACAGACTCGTGCAAAAGTAAGTACAAAGTCTGCTCCCAAAGCACTGTTTCCTATGATAGAATCATGGAGCCTTACAAATTTTAAACAGATAACAGGTATGGTGGCACATGCCTTTAATCCCAGCATTCCAGAGGAAAAGGCAGACAGAGATGGAGGCCACAAGGCCAACCTAATCTACAGAGTGATGTCCAGGACATCCAGGGCTATATAGAGAGAAAGCCTGTCTCAAAGAGCAAAACGAAAAATAATAAACAAAGGGATAATAATAATGTTCAAAGGAAAGGCAAGCTGTATACAGGTGTGCTCACCTGTCCTGGCTTGTACATTTTAATATGCTGAGACTGTGAAGTGAGCTCCTTCACTTTCATTCTAGGCCTTTTATCACTTTTATTTAGTTAATTTTTACTGCTGGGTGGCGGTTACACATGCCTTTAATCTCAGCACTCAGGAGGCAAAGGCAGGTCTATCTCAGTGAGTTAGAGGCTAGCCTGGTCTATAGAGCAAGTTCCAGGTCCATACACAGAGAAACTGTCTTGAAGAAACAAACAAACATGAAAAAAACACCTTTTTAAAAAACTTATTTTTATTTTATGCATCTGGATCTGTTGCCTGTATGGATGCATATACACCACACACGTGCCTGGGTGTCTTTGCCTCTGGAGACTCAGGGAACTGGAGTTACAGATGGCCGTGAACCACCATGTGTGTGCTGGGAACTGAACCTAGGTGCCCTGGAAGAACAACCCAGTGCTCTCAACCACTGAGCCATCTCTCCAGCCCCCTCCTTTTTCTTTTTCTTTTCTTTTTTTTCTGCTTTTTTTTTTTTTTTTGAGACAGCATTTCTTCTGAGTACCTGTTGTCTGCTGTCCTGGAGTTCTCTGTAGACCAGACTGGCCTCAAACTCAGAGATCCTCCTGCCTTCACTTCCCAAATGCTAGGATTAAAGGTAGACACCACTACCACAGGTCTGCGGCTAAAAAAAAAACAAAACAAACACAAATAAGCAAAAAAACAAAAACAAAAACAAAAACATTTTTTTCTTCAAAATTTGTTTTGGACTTACTTGTTTCATCTTATGTGTATGAGTGTTTGGCCTGCATGTGTGTTTGCACCATGCGTGTGCCTAGTGCCTGAAGAGGCCAGAAGAGGGCGCTAGGTTCCCTCAGACTGGAGTCATGGATGGTTATGCATCACGACGTGAGTGCTGGGAATAGAGCCTAGGTCCCTGGCAAGAAGAGCAAGTCTCTTGGCTACTCCAGCTCCCAGGATTTTTGTTTTTAAAGACATTTAAAAGACATTCATCGTGTCCCACCTGGGGTGGTGCCTCACTAGTTTTCAAAAAAAAAAAAAAAAGGCCTGGAGGGATGGCTCAGCCATTAAAGGCTAGGCTCACAACCAAAAATATAAGAGTTAGATTCCCAGCACCCACGGCTGTCCCTCCAGGTATTTAAAAAAAAAAAAAGACATTCAGTCTTTTTGGCTCAGACTGGCTGAGTCCCAGAAGCCGCAGAAGGACTGGTCCTCACCCGCCTCTTCTCATTTGTTCCCAATTATTTATTAGGAGGAGCACATGTCACAGCACACATGTGGAGGGCAGATTTCGGAAGTCGGTTCTTTCCTTTACCATGTGTACCTGGGAACTGAACTCAGGTTGTTAGGCTTGACAGAGGGACCCACACACACTGCACCATCTCACTGTCCACCCAACCCAGCAGGTTAGTTTTTCTAGATAGGGCCTCCCTCCCTATGTTGACCAGGTTAGCCTCACAGAAATCTTCCTGCCTCTGCCTCCTGAGGGTTGTCACTAAAGGCATGAGACATCACTCTTGGCCAGGAAGTCTTTATTTAATTCTTTTTTTGTTTTTCGAGACAGTGCTTCTCTGTGTAGCTTTAGAGCCTGTCCTGGAACTTTCTCTGTAGAACAGGCTGACCTTGAAGTCACAGAGAGATCTGCCTGTCTCTGACTCCTGAGTGCTGGGATTAAAGGTGTGTGCCACCACCACCCAGTTTAATTCTTTTTTTTTTTTAATTTTGTTTTGAAACTGCATTTCTCTGTGTAGTCCTGGCTATCCTGGAATTCACTCTGTAGACCAGGCTGTCCTTGAACTCCACCTGCCTCTGCGTGTTGTGTCAAGTTTCCGTGTGTCCTCATCACCTCCCCCCCCTCACCGTGCTCAACAATAGACCAAACACAGTGTCTCAGTGTCTTTTGTTTTTGGGGGGGTGGGCAAGAAGTTTTTAACGTCAGTGTCATTCCATTACTAGGACCTGACCTTGCTTGTTTTCTACTCAAGGCAGGCCTAACAGCTGAATACCGCAGAATGGAGGTACAGGTGTTAAACAGCCAGTTTTGTTCTTGAGTATAGTAAATAGTTTAAAGATATGTGTTCTCTACATAGCCATTGGCAAAGGCAGATGGGGGATAAGGTGAGAAAAGAAAGATCTTGTTTCTCAGTTCTAACTCAGTGGGTCTCAGCATGTCTGACACACTGGCTGCCTAAAGAAAGCCATCATGTTGGAGAAGTTCCTAGAGAAATGAATGGTTGGGGTGCTTGCACAGTGGAACCCTGGAGACTTAAGTAGGAGGGACACCGAACCACCCTCAATGCCACCCAAAAGTTCCAAAGCAGTTGGCAAATGACAGTTACAAATAAAGCCAGGGCAGAGAAAACATGTGGAGAAAGGAATGATCGGCTAGGTTCCAGAGATGCTGAAACTGTGTAACAAAGACACCGCAGTCTTCCCCTTGGAGGGGCCCCCTGACACCACGCCTCCGCTTCTCAGCCTGCTGGAGAGCAGTCATCCGCCTCCCTGGAGCAGGGAGCTCTCCAGAGAGCAGCTACCGCAGGAAGCCTGTCCGCCGCAAGACCAGCTGGACCCTGGGCTGGAGGAAACAAAAGTCCTGCTCCAGGCAGCCAGCGAGAAAGGTGGGTCAGGCGGAAAGGAGCTTTCTCAAGTGCAGTCTCTGTGTGTGACTTGGGAGACGGGAACTTGGGCCTCCAGTCTCCAGTCTCCCCACATGACCCCGTATTTTGTGGGCCATCAATAACTAAAATTAAAGTGTGGGCAGGTAGGTCTATTTAGCCAGAAAGTTATGGCACCTGCACACATGATATGCATGTCTTGCTCCATGTATCTCTTCCTATTTGGGATGATGTCAATTTTTGATTTATTGCTTTTAAACATTTACTTTATTGGTCATGCTAAAAACAGATTTCTCATCCAGTGTGGTGCATGCCTTTAATCCCAACACTTGAGAAGCAGAGGCAGTCAGATCTCTGTGAGTTCCAGGACAACCAGGGCTACAGAGTGAGACCTTGTTTCAAAATATCAAAAGGAAAGAGAGAGAGAGAGAGAATGAGAGAATTTCCTTGTTTGTTTTTAATTTGGTCATTTCTGAGATGAGTGAAAAAAATCAGTCATTTCTTTATTTTGTTTTGCTTTTTTCCACCTGATGTCTGAAATTGAGAATCAAATTACTACTCTTGATTGATTCCTGGCTCCTACTAACAAAATTTTAGTTCCTGTCTCTTTTTCCTGTTGATTTGGTGCTGGGGATTTTGTTTGTTTGGTTTTTTTTTGTTTTTTTTTTTTAATTTTTTATGATTTATTTATCTTTATTTATCTTACATTGGTGTGAAGGTGTCAGATCCTCTGAAACTGGATTTTCAGACAGTTGTGAGCTGCCATGTGGGTGCTGGGGAATTGAACCCAGGTCCTCTGGAAGGGCAGTCAGTGCTCTTAACTGCTCAGCCATTTCTCCAGCCCCCTGTTTTGTTTTTTTGAGACAGGATTTCTCTGTGTAGCTTTAGAGCCTGTCCAGGAACTCTATAGACCAGGCTGGCCTCACACTCACAGAGATCCGCCTGCCTCTGCCTCCTCGGTGCTAGGATTAAAGGTGTACACGGCTACCATCCGGTTGTTTAAAAGACTTTTAAACACTGTCAAGAAGATGACTGTTCTTTTCATCCAGCCTCAGATGCTGCTGTATAGTCTTTCAATTTGTCTTTCGATCCTAATATATTCAAATAAGAAAGTATAGGAAAAGAAAGATGACACAAGGCCCCTACCTTTGCCTTCTAGGATGTGGCAGGAAGATGGAGAGTTTGAAGCTAGCCTGGGCTAGTGAGACTGTCTCAAACAAAACAAAGCAACAAGAAAGAGCCTTCATGTTGGGCAGTAGTGCATTCCTTTTGGATCTCTGAGTTTGAGACCAGCCTGGTTTAGAAAACGAGTTCTAGGACAGTTAGAGCTACGCAGAGAAACCTTGTGTCAACAAACAAAGGAGCTTTCAGGCAGAAGCCATAAAATAAGAAAGCTTAGGAACGTATCCCAAGCACCTTGTGGTATACATAAAGTTCAAACTAAGTCTTACAAGATCCGAGGAATTCTCATGTGCTCTGCACCCTGAGCAGCAGTGGTCTTCCTTTCCTGAGACATGCACATAACCCCCAGTCTCCCCTCAGTCAGGGTGGGTGTGAGATGGGAGCTGCAGGGCACGGATGGCCACGGATGGCCAGAGTCACAATGAAGAGAAGTTGGTGAGAGACTGGCTTGGACTGTGCTATCAGAAAGGTAATATTTGGTGGGCATATAGTTGAGTTGGTGGAGTGCTTTTGAATGATAAGACCCTGGTGTTCACCATTTGCATTCCCCCCCCACCCCCATCCAGACCAGAAGGACTATTGGCCTGTCCAGGCAGCCACGCAACTGTCCTGTTTTCATTTCCCTCTCCATTCCACAATTCTTGGATGTTCTTCTTTACCGTCTTGATTTCAGCTTAGAAGTACAAGTGTCGCCTCAGTTGACAGGTTCAGCAGGCTAGAGGTCCTTTTGTGTCAGCAGAGGGAATTGCTTTTCTGTAAAGCGTGAAGCCATACAGCGAAACATTGTTTCAGATCACACTTGATTCAGCTCAGTGTTGGCCAATAACTGATCTCTGTTCTCTGCTTCCCTTTTCTCAGCAGCTCAAGGTGAAGATCTGAAGCTTGAAGTCCCCAACATCTGTCACGAACATAAATGGGAGGAAGAGAGTCTCCAGACAACAGACACGGCGCCCCTGTCTCTGGAAGAGCTGTCTGAACCGCATGGTCAGCCCACTCCGCTCCAACAGATATGTCAGGGAGAGGTAAAGAAGTGACTTTATTGAGAGGTCTCTGGTAGGGAGAAACTAAAGGGGCCAGGCAGTGCCGTGAGGCTGACCGAGAGGTAGAGTTTTGTGAGCCCCACCCAGCACCCCCATGTCTTACTGCTCAGACGTAGACTCCTTATTTTCATGAAATTTCAAAAAAGAGTTATTTTATTTAATATGTGAGTGTTGTGTTTGCATGTGTGTCTGTGCACCATGTGTGTACTGGTACCCATGGTAGTTGACAGAAGGCATGAGATTCCCTGGAACTGGAGTTATGGATGGTTGTGAGTTACCACGCAGGTGCTGGGAAACAAATCTCAGCCCCCGGGAGGAGCAGTAAGTGCTCTTACTCACTGAGCCAACTTTCTGGTCCTGTTGTTTCATTTTTAAAGATTTCTTTATTTTTACTTTGTGCATATGAGTGCTTTGTTTTCATGTATGTATGTGTGCTACACGCGTGCAGTGCCCACAGAGGTCAGAAGAGGACACTGAATCCCCTGAAACTAGAGTTACAGACAGTTGTGAGCTGCCGTGTGGGTTCTGGGAGTTGAACCTGGATCCTCTGCAAAAGAAGGCAGTGCTCTTACCCATTAAGCCCTGTCTCCTGTCCCTAGATTCCTTAGACTCGAACTTGAGATGATCGGCTGAAGAGCCAGCTGCCATTTGATTTTATTCATTATCGTTTTGTGTGTATATGACAAGTTTGTGTGGGCACATGTGCCATGGTGCATGTGTGGAGTTCGGGGCGGGGCAGCGGGCAACTCTGGAGTTATCTCAGGGACTGAAGCCAAGGCATTAGACTGGCACAGCGAGCACCTTGCCCCTGCAGTCATCGCTCCACTCTCCAAAGCCATCTGAGCACTGTCATCCTGTGCACTGACACACTGATGAGGCCTGGGTGGGGAGAGGAGAGCACCCTTGTGGAGTGCAACAAACCTGAAGGAAGCTGGCTGCTGGCCTTTTACAGCTCTGCATAGCTGCTTTAGAGAGAAGGTGGCGACCGCACCTGTCGTATTTTTTCTCGCTCTCCTCTCTGTTTTCGCTCTGTAGTCCAGTGAACCAAAAACTCAAGAAGAAAACAACCTGTCCCAGAAGCTAAGCGAGTTGCAAGTATCACACGCAGAGACCACACTGGAACTAGAAAAGACCAGAGACATGCTCTTCCTGCAGCGCAAAATCAACGTGTGTTATCAGGTGCGAGGAAAGACAGCCCAGGAAAGGGACAGGGACACACACACACACACGCACGGGGAAGCAAGCAAGGCCCAGGTTTCTAGGGCTGGTGGTTAGCGATGTCCTGCCCATGGAAGAAGTTGGGGACCCATATGCCCACACACCCTGGCCCAGAAGTCAACTAAGGTGCAGCTCACAAAATAGCAAGTGCTGGACTTCTAGGCTCATCTCTCCCCAAAGACCTTAGGGAGCTGCAAATGCAGACCTGAGGAACCTTAGCTTTCCTCCTGGGTCATGTCCTCCTGCTGAGGAGGTGGTGGTCTCCTTCCCCTGGTTTCTGTTCTTTCAGGAGGAGCTAGAGGCAATGATGACAAAAGCTGATAACGAAAATAGGGACCACAAAGAGAAAGTGGAGAGGCTGAATCACCTCCTAGATCTCAAGAACTGCCGCATAAAGCAACTGGAAGGTATTTTAAGAAGCCACGGCCTTCCAGCATCTGGCAAGTCTTAGTACTTTGTTTTTGTCTTGGGTGATGCCACATGACTGACAGGGACCCTCCTGACTCTCTCTCCTGCTCTCTTCCTCTCTTCTCTGTGGGGTTTGTTTGTTTGTTTGTTTTATTTTTCAGGACTGGATTTCTCTGTGTATCCTTGGCTGTCCCGGAACTCACACAGATTCCCCTGCCTGCCTCTGTCTCCCAAGTGCTGGGATTAAAGGCACCACCACTGCCCAGCTCATCTCTGTAGTTTTGATGCACGGTTTGTAATCTCCTTTCTCTTCATCTGATCAGTGTGAGTCTCTGACTTTTTAATTTTTTTTTAAAGATTTAAAGATTTATGATATGCAGTGTTCTGTCTGCATGCATGCCTGTGCACCAGAAGAGGGCACCAGATCTCATTACAGATGGTTGTGAGCCACCCTGTGGTTGCTGGGAATTGAACTCGGGAACTCTGGAAGAGTAGCCAGTGCTCTTAACCTCTGAGCCATCTCTCCAGTGCCAAGTATCTGATTTTTCTGGAGAATTTCAACAGGACCAGTGGTGCTTCCAGGTCACCCTAAGTGACTCTCTGGTGATGGTCTCCTTTCCTGTCAGTCATTTCTCCAACACAAGCCTGTCAGCCTCAAAGGCAGTTCTTGCCAGGTAATAGGTCTTTGTCACTCATTTTCTGTCATTCTTTCCTGTGATTTTTCTCTAAAATCTCTGTTGCAATACAAGGATGTTAGCAGAGGCAGGGGAGCTGTCTTCTCATGTCAGTTCAGGAACAGGGTCTGGTTTCTACCTTGAGTGTCCAGAAGCAGGCTTAGTTATTATGCTCAGTGTTGGGAGACATGACTTAACCCTCACCAAACTCACCACAGTCTGACATTTAAAGCAGAACACAAGTCACTATCCTCAACATAGGAGGAGCCACTGTGGACTGGATTTTCTTTTCTGGCAAAAGAGTCAGTCAGTCATAAGCCAGTTTCTCGTGAGCACAGCACTGGAGGTGTGTGGGGCTTACCACACCAGGGTGAGAGTTTGGTAAGGCTGCTGCCAAATAAAAAGGCAGTCCTCTGCTGGGTGGTAGTTGTGCACACCTTTAATCCCAGCACTTGGGAGCCAGAGACAGGCAGATCTCTGCGAGTTCAAGACCAGCCTGGTCTACAGAGTGAGTTCCAGGATAGCCAGGCCTACATAGAGAAACTGTCTCGAGGGGGGAAAAAAAAAAGGGTGATCCTCCCTTCAATTGAATCCTCCTGGGCAAACACCCTCACCTGTGTCTGAAGGTTGAATCCTCTGGGCAAACACCCTCACCTGTGTCTGAAGGTTTCTGCTTTCATTTTCTGTGCTTTGACCTCTGCCAAGGCAGAATAGTTTTCCCACGTATACCACTTAGTTGTGTCATTTGTTTTTTCTTTTGATTTCTCAAGACAGGGTTTTCTGGCTGTCCTGGAACTCACTCTGTAGACCAGAATGGCCTCCAACTCATAGAGATCCACCTGCCTCTGCCCGCCAAATTCTTGGATTAAAGGCGTGCACCACTGAGCCTGAGACTTTTGCTGTATAATCTAGGCTGGCCTCAAACTTGCAATCCTCCTTTCTGTTTCCTCGTCCTGAGAGAATGGGCATTCAGTACCACATTTCCTTTTCTTTTTTAAAAGCATTTATATACTGTGTGTGTGTAACATGACACACTTATGGGGTTAGAGGACAGCCTGCAGGAACTGGTTCTCTCCTTCCTTCTTGTAGGCTCTACAGATTCAAACTCAGGTCCTTAGGCAGTGAGCACACTTACCTGCTGTCTCATCTTGATAGCCTCTCTCCTGCCCACGCTCACACACGAAGACACCGGGGCTGCTGCAGGGATGGCTCAGAAGTTAAGAACAGCTGTTGTTTTTGCAGAGGACCTGGTTTCAGTTCCCAGAACTCACAGGGAGGCCAACAACTATCTGTAACTCCAGTCCCAGGGGATCCACCAACCTCCTCTGTCCTTGTGAAAACATGGGGTATACATACATATATGCTGGCAGAGCACATAAAATGAAAATAAATAAATCTTAAACAATCTTTATTTATATCGGTGTTTTGCTGTCATATATGTCTGTGCACCATGTTTGTGCCTGCAAAGATGAGAAGAGGGTGTCAATCCAATAGACCTGGTGTTTCAGACGGTGATGAGCTAGTGACTTTGTAGGTACGGGAATTAAGCTCAGTTCCTCCGGGAGGGCAGCCGTTGTTCTTATTGACCGGCCCAGCTCTCAGCTACCAGCACATCCCATTCTTTAACAAACGAGTTCGTTTTAGTTCCACTTACACGCACGCATTTATGGCGGTGTGGAAATATGCACATGTGTGCAGGTGCCCTCAGAATCCAGAAGAGAAGGCTGGAGCCCCTGGAGCTGGAGTTACAGGCGGCTGTAAGCCATCTGACATGGGTGCTGGGAATGAAACTCTGGAAGAGCAATGCTTGCTCTTAGCCATGGAACCATCCCTCCAGGCCAATAAACAAACAAACAATTAAATGAATAAACAAATGAATAATAAATAAACATTCTGATATACTCAGAAAATTTTTATTCTTTTGATTTAACTCTTTCTTTGTCTTCTTCCCCCACACTGAGACAGGGTTTCTCAGTATAGCCCTGGCTGTCCTGGTACTCACTCCATAGGTCAGGCTGACCTTGAACTCGGAGATCTGCCTGCCTCTGCCTCTGAAGTGCTGGGATGAAAGGCCTGTGTCTCCATCGCCCGGCTAGATTTAACTTTTAAAGTAAGGTTTTCACCATCAACACACTGCAAGGATTCAGATGTCCTCATTGTTGGCCTTGGGGACAATGTGCAGATTCTGTCGGTCTCCAGGTCTTACATCCCACTGACAGCATTTTCATCCTCTTTCCTCTAAGTTTTCTTTCTTACATTTAAACTCATTACCCTTTGTTTCAAGGTGGATTTCTTGATCTCTTGTAATGAGATCAATGTTTGGACAGAGAACAAGCTCATAACTGAGCTGGCTCTAGGCAGCCTTTCCAGGTAGCCAGGGATGAAGTGATGAACACAGCCGCTTCTTACTCTTTCGAAGGCTAGCGGCACAATCCTTTGGAAACACAGTTTGAGAGTAACCTATGAATCCACAGGCCCCTGATGTGAGTTAATGTCATTAGTGTGATGCCTTGTATCTCCTGATTGCAGTGTTCCCTTCCCTGCCCCTCCTTGGCCTTTCCTATGAGGCAGGCAGTGGGCATTTGGTCTTGAGAATTCAAAACTTCTGGTTGTCATCATGTTGTTTTTCTTTTTGTGCTTTCTGAAATAATCTCAGCTTGGCCTTCCACGGTTTATGTTCCTCCCACTTATCCTCCGTACCCCAAGGATGAGCTCTCTACCTTTTAATGCATAGGCAGTGTTCTTCCCCCTGTAGAGCAGCTCAAAGATATTGCTTATGGCACTCGGCAACCGTCATTGTGTCTGGAGTCAAGGCCAGGCCACAGAGGTGAGGATGAAGTGGACATTTCCCTGCTGCATCAAAATGAGAATCTTTTTGAACTGCACATCCACCAGGCCTTCCTGACACCTGGTGCCCTCATACAGGCTGGAGATGCTCAGCCTACTACCTTCTGCACTTATTCCTTCTACGATTTTGAAACCCATTGCACCCCATTCTCTGTTGGGCCACAGCCCCTCTATGATTTCACCTCCCAGTTTGTAGTGCACACAGAGTCCCTTTTCTTGCACTACCTTCAAGAAACTTCAGTCCGGCTCGATCTCCATCAGGCCGTGGCGAGTGAGCATCACATCCTCGCAACTGGATGGATTTCACTTGACAAGGTGCTAGAGACCTTGGAGAAAGTCCATGGCTTGGCCACACTTACTGGTGAGTGCTTTTGGCTTCTTGTAGTACTTAGGACTAGAGGCTTTGGGAGAGCAAAGAAATTGCCAAAACCTGGAGCTGCTTTTTGGTATTCTCCCTTTCCCATCCTTTGCCCCCAGGCTGGCCCTGGACTCATGACAATCCTCCTGCTTCAGCCTCTCAAGTGCTGTGATGTCACGCACTACACCAGTCTGGCCTCTGCTCTACTCTTGACTTTTACTACACTCTGTTTTCCATGCCTTTCACGCTTTTGTCATTCAGGAGCTGGTGGAGAAGACTTGGGGGTGTTAGAGTACTGGATGAGGCTGCGTTTGCCGCTAAAATCCAGACTCCAGGCCTGCAATAAGCAAAAGAAAGCCCAGGCCTACCTGTCAGTCAATGCGCTTGGAGCTTGGAAGGCCTGGAAGGATGAGGTGAGAAAAAAGATGTACTTATGCATCTCAGGTCATCAGCCAGGCAGCCCCTCGAGAGGTCTTGCTTTCCTGTTCCCTACGAGTGCTTGTGAATGTGAAAGCTGCTATAGCAAAGTCTGTCCAGATTCTTCCCATCGTTAAATGTGAGCAGAAATGAATTCCTGCCCATGGTTAGATACTTTTCTTTGTTGTGAACAAATCTGCTTTTCTCTATCATTCTCTTTATGGAGGTGTAATTTTTATTACATTTGGTGATTGGCACCGAAATGAAGGCGATCTCGGAGGGCTATGCCTTCAGATACTGGTGTCCAGCAGCAAAACTCAGATTCAGTTTTCCCATCCAGAGCTCCTACTCCACACTGACTTCAAGGTCAGTTCCACTTGTCAGCCTGTTTCTAGGTGTCTGGCCTGGCAGCTCCCTCTTCCTTCATTTTAGCGAGTTGGTGACCTTCCTGTCCTGTATGTCAGTCTTCACTAGAGCTGGAAATTTGGGGATCATTAACTTTCAAATATTCTTTTCACTCTAAGCATAGCTAGTGTTGCGATTACTGTAGCTTGCAGCCCTGTTCCCCAGGGAGCCTGTTGGGTTTCTGCCGTTTTGGTCATCACTGTCCTCTCTAAGCTTTAGTTCTCACTGCCATAGCTTCACTAACTTTCTATGGAATAAAATCTAATATTCAGTTAAAATGAATAAACAACATAAATTATTTATTGTGTTTGTACATGCCACGGTGTGCATGTAGAGGTTGCAGGACTATACGCAGGAGTCGTTCCTCTTTTCCTACTGTGTGGGAACTGGGATCAAAGCTTGCTCCCATCTCTCTATCGTGCAGCTTACCAGAGCCAGCCAGGGCCATGCAGACCATGGTCATCAGACGTCCTCATTACCTGGCAGATTAGGTTTCTAGGTCACTGTTCTCGCCTATAGCGGTGGCTCAGGCTGCCCTGAGTCCAAGATCAACATCTTTCCAGTCCAGATCCGAGACTCGGACACTTCGGAACGAACTGCGGATTGAAATCACCAGATGCTGCGGTCTCCGGAGCCGATGGCTGGGAACTCAGCCCAGCCCGTATGTCATGTATTGCTTCTTCACCTTTCCTGACCATGACACCACCATCATCCCAGCCAGCGACAGTCCACACTTTGCAGACCAGGCTCTGTTCCCAGTGCGTGTGACCTCTGACCTGGACCGGTATCTGAGGCGGGAAGCCCTGTCTATATACGTCTTCGATGATGAGGACTCAGAGCCCGGCTCCTATCTTGGCAGGGCTCACGTGCCCTTGCTGCCTCTTGCACAAAACAAACCCATCAAAGGTGGGCGTCGCCCCTCAGCGCTCTCTCTGCACCACCCTCATCCTCACTAGACTTTCTCTGCTCACTTAGAACAGTCGCTCTTCCATTTAAAAAGTAATTATCTTGGTTATGTGTGTGTGTGTGCATGATGTGACTCTATGAATGAGCGAGCCACCATTTGTACTTGGAGGCCAGGGGACAACTTTGCAGGGTCAGTTCTTTCCTTTCTTCCATCTTTACTTGAGTTCTGGAGACTGAATTCAGGTTCTTAGACTTGTGTGGCAAGCGCCTTTTCCTGCCGAGATGTGCTGGGCCAGAACAGTCTCTCTTAAGATCTGAAAGGATTCTGGGACATTATCAAGAGCAACAGAACAAAAGATTTACAACTGCCTTGCTCTTTAGCTCCTTCTAGCTGCTCAGTCAACCCGCAGCCTCTGAAAACCTTTGCCATTAATCCCAGCACTTGGGAGGCGAAGCACAGCCTGGTCTACATAGTGAGCCCCAGGCCATGGGGGGCTCTCTAGTGTAGACAGAGACTGCTCATTAGTTCCCGGCTGCCCAGACCCAGATAATCACACAGAAACTATACTACAACGCTGCTTGGCCCATTAGCTCAGGCTCTTTTTAACTAATTCCTATATCTTAAATTAACCCATTTCTATTAATCTGTGTATCACCACGAGATTGTGGCCTACCAGGAAGGTTCTGGTGTCTGTCTTCTTCAGCAGCTAAATGGCATCTCCCTGACTCCTCCTACTTTCTCTCTGTATCTCTGTTCAAATTTCCTGTCTGACTTTATTCTGCCCTGCCATAGGCCAAAGCAGCTTCTTTATTGACCAATGGTAGTAAAACATATTCACAGCATACAGAGGGAAATACTACATCATTTCCCCTTTTCTGTTTAAATAAAAAGGAAGGTTTTAACTTTAATATAGTAAAATTGCATATAACAAAACACTTATCAAGAATTACAGTTATAATATTTCTTTGTGAGTCTAAAGTTTTATATCTAATTTATCTCTTAGCATAACTAAGAAAAATTATAACTGTCTTCAACTCTTCAAAGACCCTAGAAGAATATAATATTACCTAAGTAAACAGGAAGTACATTGTGAGCAACTTCCAAAATTCTAGAATTGACCGAGACATCTCACTACCTGGACAGTCACCCAAAGTTCTTCTGTAACGTTGGGGCATCCAATCTTCAGCCTACAAGCCCATAGTATCTGGCAGACTTTTTCATGAAGCAGAACGCTTGAAAGGTTGTTTCACCTTTAGACAAGTTCAGCAGCATTTCTGTGGGTCCTGCATACAGTTCATACAGCAAACAGTCCAGGCAAGAGCAGTTTCTTGTCCAAATGGCTAATCTTGCCACGATAACAATAAACTCCAAAAGGAGTTTCTTCAATGCCCATCATCTCAGAAGTAAATTCATGCTGCCAGGAGCAGATGTAGCTCATTCTCAAGAAAAGTCTAAGTCCTTGGGCTGGAGAGATGGCTCAGAGGTTAAGAGCATTGCCTGCTCTTCCAAAGGTCCTGAGTTCAATTCCCAGCAACCACATGGTGGCTCACAACCATCTGTAATGGGGTCTGGTGCCCTCTTCTGGCCTGTAGGCATACACACGGACAGAATATTGTATACATAATTAATAAATAAATAAATATTTTTAAAAAAGTCTAAGTTCTTAAAGCATTTTAAATGCCATATTCTTTGAAGTGTTGAAGATTATATAACTGAAATATATCTCTGTATATCTAGAAAACCTAACTAACATGACTACAAGTTTGACTATTATAAATGACTACCTATTAATCTGCAATTTTAATTATACATTTTATTTTAAAAATGAGCTGTATAAACATAATACTTTAAACAAGAGCAGAAATATACATATGACAAAATTGACCTTAAATTTGTATCAATAAACCAAAATCCATACCAATGCAAAGTATTCATTTCTATATCATATCCCCCTTTAAATGAAAACAGACATTTATAAACAATCATTTTGTGAGTTTGGGTGTAGTTTTCTCCAAACTGTTTCCTGCTGTTTGTTGGGTGAAGTTGTTTTTGGGGTTCACGGAGACCTTTTGGGGGGATCTTGTTTCATCAAACCACATTAGCCTGGAAGAAATCCATAGGTTCTCATCTGTGAAAACAAAAGCAGAATATCTTTTCCAAAGCAACATATTAGACTCAAATTTTGAAGTCAAAATTATGTTTGTTTAACTTAGCAGCCCCCAGAATCAAATGTCTCTCTGCAGTCAAAAAATTCAAAGAAAACACAATAATGTACATAATCCAGACTCTGTGTATATTCCATCTTTATGTGGCTTATTTTTCTTTACTCCTTTAATCTATGACTGTCTGTACTCTTTTATATAACTTTTACCGTCTCTTTACATTTTAAAACTATTTCTTTCTATAACTGCTTATACCAGTTTTCTTTTTTCTTAAGCCAAGTACGTTTTTAGACACACTATGACCCTCCAGCGGTTTATTTCTGTCTGAATCTGTCTTTCTTGCACAGCCGTAATCCTTTTTCAATCACCGTTGTAAACTGTTGCAGGCAGAGCAGCTGTTTTGGCTGTTGGGTTCCACCCTGCTTGCTTTCCAACATGGCAGAGGTCCATTTACTGCCAGCTCTGGAAGCCATGTTTACCACCCAACTCTCGGAAGCCACCAAGTAACTTGCAGCATGCTGCCCATTCAAGTGTTCAGCCTCCTGAAAGAGCCAAATATAAACCAGGAAGCTGTCTCTCAAAGAAGCCACACACTTTTTGCTGCTAATGCTAAGTCAGGAAGCCTCTCTTAAAGGAGCCATGCCTCTGCTCCATGTCTGCCAGCAAACAGAGCCTACCTGAAAAAAAATACAGCTACCAAGAAGGTGTGCTTGGTTCCCATTTTTGTTGATCTAGAAGCCTCTTTTTTTTTTTCTTTTCTTAAGCTTTCTTTAAGGTCTTATATGAATTCATATCTCAGAAAGGCTAGGCATTTCTTTGTCCAAAGACCAGTTTTGCCAAGAAGAAAACAAGCTCCAAGTGGAGTGTCTTTGGTGCCCAACAATATGGCAAGACCTTCCCTCACAAAAACCAAAACCAAACCGAACAACAACAACAAACTCTCCCATGCTGCCTAGTACTCGCCTTGTTTAAAGACTCGTTTCTTAGTGCAACTGGAGGAGATCTGAGCAACCACTTTCAGAGCATCAGAGATGACAGTGGCAGACAAGGGCAAGCCAGCCTCAGGGGTCTGGAGCTGAGCTCTCTGCTGCCTTCATTCCTTGCTTACTCGGGGTTGTGGCTCTGGTTTCTGTCTGGAGAGGGTTGAAGCAGTGATTTCCAGATTTTCACTAACTGGTCCATATAGCCGGGATAGGCAGTGCCAACCATATTTACATGACTCTGAGTGCCTTTGGGAGTATGCGAAGCCTCTCTCTGGCCAGCATCATAGTTCTTTAAAAGACACTTCTGCCTAAGAGGAGAGGCAAGCCACCTACTAAGCAGGGCTTTGGAACAGGCAGAAACCTGCCACTCAGGAAAAAGCCACTTTGCTTGTATTCTTGGTACCACTTGCATAGGCGGTAGCTTTCTGGGGGTGGCCACAGCATAGTACATACTAGTGACAGGGAAGATGATTCTGTCACAGTCACCAGCTGAACAGGTGGCAGGCAAGCTGCACTCCTGCCCAAGCACCTTTTGATCATGTCTCTCTGAAACTGGGTTCCCCTATGATTTTCTCACTACACTGTTGTATTATGTTAATTTCATTTATGTTACAAATTTTATTTCTCTGTGTCTCTAAGGTGAATTCAATCTCATGGATTCTTCAGAGAAGTCCAGCGGATTCATCCAAGTGCAACTAGACTGGATGTCTCAGTACCGGCCTCCAGAGGCCCTGAAACCAGAAGCTGAGACGGAGGATGAGGACAACAAAGATGGTTTGGAGGCCTCAATCACAGAAGAACCGGCCCCTGCTCTTCCCCAGGTAACTAACTCTCTAGAACTCCCTGGACAGTGGATCTCTCTACACACGCGATAAAGCCAATTGGAGAGAAGAGTCTTAGGGCTGGAGTAAAGGAAACTCCTTTCATGAGCTGTGTGTAATCAGATGTAATCTAGAAGCTCCTGATGGACAGAACCTGAGGAGCAAGAGTCAGAGAGAAAGACAGACATGGAGCTGCCATTGCTTAAGGCTGTCTGTCTCTGATTTGTCTGTTCAGAACCAGATGGCATCTAGAGAGACTCCTATTGAGGCAGGCCAATATCACGTAAAGAGAAAATCTCCCCCAACAGCAGAAAGGCAGGCTAAAGAACACCAGATTGCATGCTACTCAAGAAGAAGGCACAGCCAAAGAACAGGTGTCCAAGGCAAGAACCGAATGGAATATCTGAGCCGTAACATCTTGAACGGAAATACACTACAGGTAAGACCCCAGAGACTCCAGAGAGCAGAACCTGTGCAGCCATCAGAGGGGAGGAGGGGCGAAGGCAGGAAGGGCACAGTGACTCATTTCTAAAGCCCCAGATGGTGGCCTCAGGTCAGCGCGATTTAACCCAGCACAATAATGCCACACACACTGTAACCGAGGCTTAGAACACTAATCCAATGTATGCTAGGCATTTCTTTAAAAGGGACAGAATTTTTAGAGTTGAAAGAGGCTAGTATTAAGAAAGAAGTGTAATCTGGGGGGGGGTGATGGTGCACGCCTTTAATCCCAGCATTTGGGAGGCAGAGGCAGGCAGACCTTTATGAGTTAAAGGTCAGCTTGGTCTACAAAGTTCCAGGACAGGCAGGTGTGTTACAAGGAGAAACCCTGTCTCAAAAAACCCAAACCCAAACCAAACCAAAACGACAACAACAAAACAACAAAGACAAAAGAAATGTAAAATCTTGTGCCACTCATGTGTGTCCTTGCTCTCAAGCAGATGCACTACAGTGAACGGAAGTTCTCAGGGCTCCAGATGTCTGAGGATGATGACTTTAAATTTCAGGACAAGGAAGAGAAAACGCCGCCGTCTCAACCAGCTCCAAGACAGGAGACCCCCTCACCTCCTATAAATGGTATTGTCTTTCTAAGATCTAATTTTCTATTTCATCATTGAATTCTCTTCTTTTTATAGTATTTATTTTTATTACTTTCAATTATGTGTCATATGTGCCTACTGGTGAAGCAGCAGGTGCCTGTGGAGGCCAGAAACATGGAGTCTCGGTGCTGGGGCCTGAGCTCAGTCCTCCAGGAGACTGAGTGTTCTTAATCACCAACCCTCCAGCTACTGAATTACTTTCCTGTTGCTGTGATAAGACACCATGACCTGGGCAACTTTTAAATTTGTTTGTTTGAGGTAGGGTTTCTCTGTGTAGCCCTGGCTGTCCTGGAACTCGCTGTGTAGACCAGGCTGGCCTTGAACTCACAGAATCCTTCCTGACTCTGTCTCTGGAGTACAGGGAGGTACCATTCCTGACTGACCTAGGCAACTTTATAAAAAAGTTTCTTTGGGGCTTACAGTTTCAATGGATAAGTCCATGGTAAATAACACGAGCATCTCATCAGGCAGGCATGGTACTGAGAAGTAAGCTGAGAGCTCATGTCTTGAGATACAGTCATGAAGAGAGAGAAACACTGGGAATGGCCTGAGTCTTTTGAAACTTCAAAGTTGTCCCCAGGGACACACCTCCTCCAACAAGTCCACACCTGTACCTGCACCATCTGGAACTGCCCTCAGGCAAGGGTCTGGGGGGTAAAGAACACACGGAGACGCGGGTCACTCTTTAAGCAAGAATGCCAATTTAATGTGTTCCGGGACATCTTATATAGTGCTCTCCTTGGCTAGTGGCCACGCCCTAGCTCTCAGAATTTTCCACTGCAAGCCACCAGAAACCACTTCCTCGTTATCAGGAACTCTTGAGGGTTTCATGCTTAGAGCAGCTACAAGCATAGAAAAACAAGTTATTTACCTCCAGCAGGTAAAATGTCATAGAAAGTTCAGGGTCTAAGGGTCTGTAGATCCCAACACACACCTCCTAATCTTTCCTAAACAGCCTCACCAACTGGGGATCAAACCTATGGCCCTTTGGAGACCATTTTTATTCAAACCACCACACAATGATTAACAGTTAATAGAAAACTATTAAAGTTCCTAAGTCTTTCCTACATTAAAAGTGTGAGAAATTAGTCCAACGCAGGCTTGAATTCTCAAAGGAAGGTACTTTTCTATACATGTATAGCTAGCAAGCAAGCTAGTGTAGTTTCCCTAGAACTTGGCAACGAATGTCTACAAAGAAATAAGAGGGGTTTAGAGGTTCATTTGTGGGCACGAGATTCCAGCTGGGCTGGAGAGACATCTCATGGTTGAGAATCTTGGCTGCTCCTCTAGAGGACCTTGGTTTGATTCTCACCGCTCACAACCATCTGGAATCTCAGTTCCAGAGACTTGAACACTCTTTTCTGGCCTCTGTGCACACCTGGCATTCACATGGTATGTAGACATATAGATAGGGTTTGGGAATTAAACCTGGGTCCTCTGCAAGAGCAACATATGGTCTTAACTGCTAAGCTCTCTGACCCCTTACTGTTTTTAGAAACAGATTATATACCATAGTTCCATAAGCACCAGATTAGTTTCAAAATAGGAAATTATCCAGGTTTGGTGGCCTAAGCTTTTAATCCCAGCACTCCAGAGGCAGATGTTGGTGGACCATTATGAGAACAAGGCCAACTTGAGATACATAGAGTATACCAGGCCAGCCAGGGATACACAGCGAGACCCTGACTCAGAAAAATTCAACATAGGCAATCAACTTAATATGCCATAGCATTAAAGTTTAATTTGTGCTTTGAGATCATTTCGTTATTTTGAGTAAAAGCATTACAAAGTACACCTTCCGTTCCTAATAAAAATTCTCAGAAACCTAGGAATAGAAGGAAATTACTTTGAATGACTAAAGTATAGTAATAAAACCCATAGCAAGCATCCTATTCGGAGGTAACCCTTGAAGGCTGAAAACAGGGTGTCCATTTCTATTGCTCCTATTGAACATTATAGTAGAGATTAGTTTTTTGGAGACAAGGTTTCTCTGTCTGTTCTGGCTGTCCTGGAACATACAATATACATCTACAGACAAGGCTGGTGTTCAGCTAAGAGATCTGTTTGTTACTGCCCCCGTGTATGGACATTAAACATACACACAACCATGCCTGGCATAATGCAGATTCTAACCAGTGAAACAAGGTGAGGAAAAACAGTAAAAATTACACAGCCTGGAAATTAAATAGGCTTATCTTTATTTGCAGTTGAAAAATCATGTTTGTAAGAAATCATTAAAAAAAAATCTACAAAAGGGGTGGCGGGAGAGAGAGCCTAGTTCAGCAAATGACTGATTGACTAAAATCAACCATATTTTCACACATTAACAATGAACTATCCAAAGAGGAGATCCAGGAGACAGTTTTTTTCACACCGTCATAAGAAAGAACTAAATATTTGGTGGTAGACTTGACAAAAGAAATCTAAGACCTGTGCATCAAAGACTACAGATCCTCAGGAAGGCAGTCGGAGTGACTTAGGTAAAATCATTAACCTGAGCCCTTAGTTTGACCCCAAGAATCTAGATAAAAGCTAATGATTCATCTCTGTAATTCTAGCACTCCTAAACAGCAAGATGGGAGGCAAAGACAGAATTATTTGGAGTCTCTTGTGTGAGACCCTGCCTCAAAAACAAGATGGAAGTAAAGAACTCACTCCCAATAAATAAATAAATTTTTTTCTAAAAAGTAATTGGAGTAATTAAAGGGGAATTTCCAGTTCAGAGAATGGTACCATCCACACTTAACATAAGGTTTCCCCTAGCCTGGGCATGATGGTGCACACCGTTAATCCCCATACTAAGGAGGCAAAGACCAATGGCTTTCTGTAAGTTCTAGTTCATCTTGGTCTACATGATGAGTTTCAGGTCAGCCAGGGTTACAGAGGGAGAGACCCTTGCTCAAAAAACGTAAAGGAAAACACTAGGGGAGTCCCGTCAGTCAGGATAATCCCCCACAGACCATCTCCCAGGTGATTCAAGACCCTGTCTGTGGACATTTAACATTAAACATCATGTGTAATTTTTTTTTAAAGAGCAAGCTTCACATAGCCCACACTAGCCTTGAACTTACTACGTAGCTGAGGATAACCCCAAACTCAAGATTTCCCTGCTTTCCCACCCGAGGGGCTGGGATTACAGTCATGAGCCACTTTGTCTGTGTCTCTGCCACAAAGGTCTACCTCAGCAGAAGGGCACCTATACTCTAGTGTGGCAGTTACATGTGAGAGGTGCAGAGATGTCCCTGGGTTGTGTCACACCCCACACAGACACACATACGTCACAGTGCTTGCTTTTCCTTAGTGTGTTCATTTTCTTCAAGCCTCTAGAGAGACTACTAGCCTGCCTGCCTAATTTCTTTCATTTTTCTATAAATTTTAATTTTTAAAATTTTATTTTATGTGGATGCATGTTTTGTTTGTATGTTTGTCTGTGTACCACATGATACATGGTACTCACAATAATCAGAAGAGGGTATTATACTCCCCTAGAATTGGAGTTACAGATGATTGACAACTGATCTGCCAGTGCTGGGAATTGAACTCAGGTCTTCTGGAAGAGGAGCCAGTGCCTATAACTAAACCATCTCTCCACCCCATACTTTTTTTTCTTATATGGACAAACATGTAATTGGGGGGCTAGCTTACAGTTTCAGAGGTTTAGTTCATTTAGTCTCATCATTGTGGGTGGCAGGCAGGCAGACATGGTGCTGTAAAAGGAAAGCTACAGGCAACAGGAAGGGAACAGTGTTCTACACTGTGTGTGGCTTGAGCAAGAGAGACCTCAAAGACTGCCCCCACAGTGACACACTTCCTCCAACAAAGGAGACTACATCTACTCCAACAGAGCTACACTTCCTAATAGTGCCACATTCCACTCTCTGGTTCCCCCCCAAAAAGTGTATAGCTATATCATAATGCAAAAATGCATTCAGTCCAACTTTAAAAGTCCCCATAGACTATCACAGTCTGAAACTTATTTAAAAGTCTCTTCTGAGAATCATGCAATCTCTTAACTACAATTACCTGTAAAATCAAATCAAAAAGCAGATCACATACTTCCAACATACTTCCAACAAATATGGCAGACCATTTCAAAATGCAGAGAAGGGAACATAGTGAGGAAATACTGGACCAAAGCAAGACCGAAAACCAGCTGGGCAAACTCCCACCTCTGCATCTCCACCCATGTCTGATATCAAAGTGATCTTCAACTTTGTTGACTGAAACACACTTCGCTCTCTTGGGCTGTTTGCACTCCCTGTTAGCAGCTCCCCCTCAGCAGGTATCCCATTGCTCTGGCATCTCCAACATTTTGGGGTCTCAAAGACAGTCCAGGCTTCAGCTTCACAACGTCACACAATAGCCCCTCTGAGCCTCGATGCCAGGAAACCCCTGTCACATCCCTGACCTCGGCGGCTTTCCTTAGTAACAGAGGGAGATTCCATAACACCTTTCTTCTATTCTGAGTCTAAAACCAGAACCATGCAGTCTAATCTGTGAAATTCTTCTGCTTGCTGGTTCTGGAATCTGACTCCCTCTCCACCCCACCCTTTCCCTTTTCCTCCCTCGTCCCTCTCCCACTTCCCTCCATGAGGGGCGCATCCTGACCAGCAGGAATGAACGCCACCAAAAACGAGAATTCCTTCCCTGGTCACATCTTTATTCGGAGCCCTTTGATTGAGGAAAATTGGGGGAAGGAAAGATAGAGCAGGGACGAGAGAAAGCTTAGAGAGAGCGTTGGGCCCCGAGGCAGCTGCTTTTAAA